GAATGAATGGGTCAACCAGGAAATTAAAGAAGAATTAAAAAAATTCATGGAAACGTGGGCCGCCTGGGTGGCTCAGTTGTTAGGTGTCTGCCTTAGGCTCAGGTCATGATCCCGGGGTCCTGAGATTGAGCCCTGCATTGGGCTCCCTGCTTGGCGGGAGGCCTGCTTCTCCCTCTCACACTCCCCCTGCTTGTGTTCCCTCTCTCTTTCTCTCTCTGTCAAATAAATAAATAAAATCTTTAAAAAAATTCATGGAAACAAATGAAAATGAAAACACAACTGTTCAAAACCTTTGGGATGCAGCAAAGGGGGTCCTAAGAGGGAAGTACAATACAAGCCTTTCTCAAGAAACAAGAAAGATCTCAAATACACAACCTAACCTTACACCTAAAGGAGCTGGAGAAAGAATGGCAAATAAAGCCTAAACCCAGCAGGAGAAGAGAAGTAATAAAGATTAGAGCAGAAATCAATGAAATAGAAACCAAAAGAACTGTAGAACAGATCAACAAAACTAGGAGCTAGTTCTTTGAAAGAATTAATAAGATTGATAACCCCCTGGCCAGACTTATCAAAAAGAAAACAGAAAGAACCCAAATAAGTAAATAATAAATAAAATCATGAATGGAAGAGGAGAGATCACAACAAACATCAAAAAAATACAAACAATTATAAGAACATATTATGAGCAACTATATGCTAACAAATTAGGCAATCTGGAAGTAATGGATGCATCCTTAGGGACATATAAACTACCATAAGTGAAATAGGAAGAAATAGAAAACCTGAACCCATAACCAGCAAGGAAATTGAAGCAGTAATCAAAAATCTCCCAACAAACTAGAGTCCAGGGCCGGATGGCTTCCCAGGGGAATTCTACCAAACATTTAAAGAAGAATTAATACCTATTCTTCTGAAGTGGTTAAAAAAATAGAAATGGAAGGAAGGCTTCTAAACTCTTTCTATGAGGCCAGCATTACCTTGATCCCAATACCAGACAAAGACCCCACCAAAAAGGAGAATTACAGACCAATATCCCTGATGAACATGGATGCAAAAATTCTCACCAAGATACTAGCCAATAGGATTCAACAGTACATTAAAAGAATCATTCACCATGACCAAGTGGGATTTATTCCTGGGCTGCAAGTTTGGTTCAACATCCACAAATCAATTAATGTGATATAATACATCAATAAAAGAAAGGACCATATGATCCTCTCAATAGATGCAGAAAAAGCATTTGACAAAGTACAGCCTCTTTTCTTGATGAAAACTCTTCACAGTGTAGGGATAGAGGGTACATACCTCAATATCATAAAAGCCACATATGAAAATCCCACAGCGAATATTAGTCTCAGTTTTTCCCCTAAGGTCAGGAACGCAGCAGGGATGTCCACTATCACCACTGTAGTTCAACATAGTACTAGAAGTCTTATAAGCCTCAGCAATCAGACAACAAAAAGAAATGAAAGGTACCCGAATCAGCAAAAAAGTGAAACTCTCATTCTTCGCATATGACATGATACTCTATTTGGAAAACCCAAAACACTCCACCCCCAAATTGCTAGAACTCATATAGGAACTTCAGCAATGTGGCAGGATATAAAATCAACACACAGAAATCAGTTGCATTTCTATACACTAATAACGAGACAGAAGAAAGAGAAATTTTTTTTAAAGTCAAACATTTCTGCTTCTAGGAATTTTCTTTTTTTTTTTAAGATTTTATTTATTTATTTGACAGAGAGAGACACAGCAAGAGAGGGAACACAAGCAGGGGGAGTGTGAGAGGGAGAAGCAGGCTTCCCACGGAGCAGGGAGCCCGATGCAGGTCTCGATCCCAGGACCCTGGGATCATGACCTGAGCTGAAGGCAGATGCTTAACCAACTGAGCCACCCAGGCGCCCCAGAAGAAAGAGAAATTAAGGAGTCGATCCCATTTACAATTGCACCAAAACCCATAAGATACCTAGGAATAAACCTAACCAAAGAGGCAAAGGATATGTCCTCAAAAAACTATAGAACTCATGAAAGAAATTAAGGAAGACACAAAGAAATGGAAAAACATTCCATGCTCATGGATTGGAAGAACAAATATTGTTAAAATGTCTATGCTACCTAGAGCAATCTACACATTCAATGCAATCCCTATAAAAATACCATCAACTTTTTTTTTTTTAAGATTTTATTTATTTATTTGAGAGAGAATGAGAGATAGAGAGCACGAGAGGAAGAGGGTCAGAGGGAGAAGCAGACTCCCTGCTGAGCAGGGAGCCCGATGTGGGACTCGATCCTGGGACTCCAGGATCATGACCTGAGCCGAAGGCAGCCGCCTAACCAACTGAGCCACCCAGGTGCCCTACCATCAACTTTTTTCACAGAGCTAGAAAAATAATCCTAAAATTTGTATGGAACCAGAAAAGACCCCAAATAGCTAGAGGAATGTTGAAAAAGAAAAGCAAAGCTGGTGGCATCACAATTCTGGACTTCAACTTCTATTAAAAGCTATGATCATCAAGACAGTATGGTACTGGCACAAAACAGACACATAGATCAAAGAAACAGAATAGAGAACCCAGGGGCGCCTGGGTGGCTCAGTCGTTAAGTGTCTGTCTTCGGCTCAGATCTTGGTCCCAGGGTTCTGGGATCGAGCCCCACATTGGGCTCCCTGCTTGGCGGGAAGCCTGCTTCTCCCTCTCCCACTCCCCCTGCTTATGTTCCCTCTCTCGCTATGTCTCCGTCAAATACATAAGTAAAATCTTAAAAAAAAAAAGAATAGAGAACCCAGAAATGGACTCTCAACTCTATGGTCAACTAATCTTCGACAAAACAGGAAAGAATATCCAATGGAAAAAAGACAGTCTCTTCAACAAATGGTGTTGGGAAAATTGGACAGCTACATGCAGAAGAATCAAACTGGACCATTTCCTTACACCATACACAAAAATAGACTCAAAATAGATGAAAGACTTAAATGTGAGACAGGAATCCATTAAAATCCTAGAGGAGAACACAGGCAGCAACCTCTGTGACCTCGGCCGCAGCAACTTCTTGCTAGACACGTCTCCAAAGGCAAGGGTAACAAGGGCAAATATGAACTATCGGGACTTCATTAAGATAAATAGCTTTCGCACAGCAAAGGAAACAGTGAACAAAACCAAAAGACAACCGACAGAATGGGAGATGATATTTGCAAATGACATATCAGATAAAGGGCTAGTATCCAAAATCCATAAAGAACTTATCAAACTCAACACCCAAAGAACAAATAATTCAATGGCCAACGGACACATGAAAAATGCCTAACATCACTGTGCATCAGGGAAATACAAATCAAAACCACGATGAAATACCACCTCACACCTGTCAGAATGGCTAAAATGAACAAGTCAGAAACGACAGATGTTGGTGAGGATGCCCAGAAAGGGGAACCCTCCTACCCTGTTGGTGGGAATGCAAGCTGGTGCAGCCACTCTGGAAAACAGTATGGAGGTTCCTCAAAAGGTTGAAAATAGAGCTACCTTATGACCCAGCAATTGCACTACTGGGTATTTACCCCAAAGATACGCCAAATGTAGTGATCTGAAGGGACACGTGCACCCCAATGTTTATAGCAGCAATGTCCACAATAGACAAACTGTAAGATGAACCCAGATGTCCATTGACTGTTGAATGGGTAAAGAAGATGTGGATATATACACAATGGAATACTGCCCAGTCATCAAAAAAAATGAAATCTTGCCATTTGCAACGACGTGGATGGAACTAGAGGGTATTATGCTAAGCAAAATAAGTCAGTCAGAGAAAGACAATTATCATATGATCTCACTCATATGTGGAATTTAAGAAACAAAACAGAGGATCATAGGGAAAGAGAGGAAAAAATAAAACAAGACAAAATCAGAGAGGGTGACAAACCATAAGAGACTCTTAATCATAGGAAAAAACTGAGGGTTCCTGGAGGGGAGGGGGCTGGGGGGTTGGAGTAACTGGGTGACAGGCATTAAGGAAGGCGTGTGATGTAATCAGCACTGGGTGTTATATAAGACTAATGAATCACTTAACCTCTACCTCTGAAATTAATAATATACTATATATTAATTAATTGAATTAAAAAAATAAAAATAAAGGATTTTACACCTCCCTGGAAGGAACCCTCCACCCTTTCTCATGTGATAGTTAGATGACAAAAACTAGATTGGTGACAGGCGCCTGGAGGGTTAATCAGATTAAAACAGAGCCAACAAGCTGCTAAAACCTAGACTTAGAAACTCTAGTGGCAACCCTCTCGGGTCCCCTTCCTCTTCAGGAGCTCTGTGCTATCGCTCAATAAACTTTGCTTTGCTGCCCACCACTCTTCGTCTGGTCTACCTCTTCATTCTTCGTGCAGTGTGACCGAGAACCACGAGCTGAAGGAAAAGAAATCTTGCAACACGTCCCCTTGGACATTTCAAGCACTTCATTAAAAACATAACCTAAGCTAGTTTGGCTACTCTAAGAAATGATATGATTATGTTCTTAAGTATACATTCAGTATAAATATCAATACAAAATTTGAAAATTAAATATCCTATTAATCCAGTATTTTATTTTATTTTATTTTATTTTATTTTATTTTAAGATTTTATTTATTTATTTGACAGAGAGAGACACAGCAAGAGAGGGAACACAAGCAGGGGGAGTGGGAGAGGGAGAAGCAGGCTTCCCACTGAGCAGGGAGCCCGATGTGGGGCTCGATCCCAGGACCCTGGGACCATGACCTGAGCTGAAGGCAGACGCTTAAGGACTGATCCACCCAGGCGCCCCTCATCCAGTATTTTAAAACAAATTCAATTTAGAGACTTAAATATTAGGGGATCACCTATCTTTAAATGTAGGTGTATTGGAGTCATTGCTTGACCTGGGTCATTGGTTGCTTCTGTACACCAAGTAAAACATTAACTTCCTGATTTTTTGCAACAAGTAGAAGTAGAGCAGGCTACCAGCAATTTTGAGAGCAAGAAAAATGAAGCTCCCTGTTTTTGTAGTAGATGCATTTACAGCAAAAGCATTTCGTGGGAATCCTGCCGCTGTTTGCCTCCTAGAAAATGTAAGTACTTCGTTTTGAAGAGCAGTATCTGAAATTCTAGATTCCTGTAGAATCAAATATTTCCTACAGAAAAAAAAATTAGTTCCACCTGTTTGTCTTTGGTTCATGTTCTTTGTCAAATGATATCAGCAATGTTCATGTCTGCGAGTTGATTTTGACCAAACTATATGAGGAGAATGCTTGCACCCAGATGCTTTAAGTCTGGAAAAAGATTTATGTAAGGAAGAACTAAAACCAATTAAAAAAAATACAGAGAACTCTTTGTTAGCCATCAGGTTTTCATTTAGTGAGCACCAAATGTGAAGGCAAATGAAATTAGATGAGTTTTATGTGACTGGACATTGCTGATATTATATTTAACATAAAAGATTTCAGCTGGATATCTTTAACCTTACCTATTTCAGACAATTAGAAATTCTTTTCAGGACAACCAAAAAACATTTTGCAAGGAATTAAGTTATTAAGTAGAAGGAAGGAATTAAGCTCTAATACAGGGAGAACTGTTTCCTGAAATTCTCATTTTTAAAAATAGCTTTTGAGGGGCATCTGGGTGGCTCAGTTTAAGTGTCTGACTCAATCTCAGCTCACGTCTTTTTTTTTTTTTTTTCAGCTCAGGTCTTGATCTCAGGGTCATGAGTTCAAGCCCCGGTAGGGCTCCATGCTGGGCATGCAGCCTACTTAAAAAAAAAAGAAAGAAAGGAAAGGAAAAAAAACCCCAGCTTTTAGACGAACCATTAGAGACGATGGACTCTGAAAAACAATCTGAGGGTTCTAGAGGGGAGGGGGGTGGGGGGATGGGTTAGCCTGGTGATGGGTATTAAAGAGGGCACATTCTGCGTGGAGCACTGGGTGTTATGCACAAACAATGAATCATGGAACACTGCATCAAAAACTAATGATGTAATGTATGGTGGTTAACATAACAATAAAAAAATTATTAAAAAAAAACCCCAGCTTTTGATTAGGATAAGTATTAACAGAATAGTTAAATATTCATTTGTGTTGGTACCTGGCTATTAGGAAACAAGCCAAGGAGCCCTTCCACTCAGAGCAGTTAGTTCAAGAGTAGATTATCTGAGAATTATTTCAGAAATACAGTAAGCAATTGGTGATTTTAAGTAAGTTTTACTAATTTGGGTAAGATGTGTGTTGGGGACTTCAAGTGCAGTGAATGTCAAGCTGCACATGAAAATCACCCAAGGAGTTTTAAAATTCCTATGCCAGACTCTCTGGGGGTGGGAGCCAGGCAGCACTATTTTTTAAAGTTCCCCAAGTGAGTCTAGTGTGCTCTCAAGACGATGAATGGCTGGGGTTTTACTGAGATGGGTGAATACTGTTGGTTGAGTCCTTGGTACACTTATTTTCTCCCTCAAGCAGAGCAGCAAAATGGTGATGAAGAGTCCTCGTCTCACCTTAAGGATACATTCATTATGCAACCTTGCAGCTGGCATTTTCCAACCATAAAATGCGGAAAGTAATAAAGTTAATAGGCTTTATCAAGTAACACAAGAGCTTGGGAGGATTAGTGAGAGAATGATTAACAAGCAGATTCTGAATCGTGAACTTTCTTTAGAAACAAGCTGGCAAACAGCTTCATGTCAAGGAATTGTGGAAATGACTGAAATTGCTTGTCAAGAGTCTTAGTATATTTGTTGCATGTCTCCATGTAGTATTCTTGAAGAGTTCTGAAAATAGTTCCAAGTGATTTTCATATTCAGTTTTCACCAGATGACAAGAATTGGTATTATTCTTCAACTTATTCCTTTTACTTTCAGTATACTCACTGCACATCAGAGTCTTTCTCTCTCTCTCTCTTCAAATATATTTTATATGTTGTTTATATATTTGGAAAAACTAGGATGCAAAAGTTTTTTTTTAAAGATTTTTTATTTATTTATTTGACAGAGAGAGACACAGCAAGAGAAGGACCACAAGCAGGGGGAGCGGGAGAGGGAGAAGCAGGCTCCCCGCTGAGCAGGGAGCCCGATGCGGGGCTAGATCCCAGAACCCTGGGGTCATGACCTGAGCCGAAGGCAGACGTTTAACCGACTGAGCCACCCAGGCGCCCCAGGATGCAAAAATTTAAGCAAAGAACTTAGCATAGTTCAAAGCGATCTGCTTCATAAGAATGGAAGAAAGAAAAAGAAAATAAGGAAGTCCATGATTCAGGGATACTTTCTAGAGAGTCTCCCAATTCACTTCCGGGTTTTGGATCTGTGGTACCAGGCTAATTTGGTGGCCTGTCAGGGACAACTGAATAGATGATCTAAAGAATAATTCGCTAGTTTTCAATTCTGTGGATGTGAGAATCCTGTTCTCCTGGAGGCTAATTTGGCACTTTCCCCAATTCATAATCAATAAAAATTCTAGTGGAAGTATAAAATGTGGTTTATGCCCTTGGATTCTTTTACCCATGGCTGGGCACAGTGGACACCTGAAACACCTAGAAAGAACACAAGTAAACTCAGGAAAATACCAGAGACAAATAAGTGCTAAACCTTATAATGTGGCCCACAGTTCAGTATGTGTTTAGCCTATCATTACCGTATTCTACAAATATTTATCGACATCTACCACAAGCCAGCTTGTGGGGGGATAGGAAGTACAAAGATTAGTAAGTTTGCCTGACCCTGAGGTGCTCAAAGTCTAGTGAGAGAAACAGACATGGAAACCTGATCATTATTCAATAGTTACCACAGAGGCTAAAAGATCTAATGGTACCAGGTACAACGGGGACTCAGAGAACACAACAGTGTTAGATTTTACAGAGGAGAAACTACTTCAGATTTTAAGTGAAGGGCTTCAGAGGAATATTCTTTTTTGTTTTGTTTTGTTTAAAATTATTTAAAAATTTGACGAGATGAGACTAATCACAAAAAAAAAAAAAAAAAAACAACTTGGTGGGGGCGCCTGGGTGGCTCAGTCGTTAAGCGTCTGCCTTCGGCTCAGGTCATGATCCCAGGATCCTGGGATCGAGCCCCGCGTCGGGCTCCCTGCTCGGCGGGAAGCTTGCTTCTCCCCCTGCCTCTCCCCCTGCTTGTGTTCCCTCTCTCACTGTGTCTCTCTCTGTCAAATAAATAAAGTCTTAAAAAAAAAAAGTTGGTTGACAGGCTAAAGACAAGGCAATTGCACTTTGAGCTGTTTGAATACTTGAAAAAAAGACCTCCTCCTCCTTCTTTTTTGATAAAAGACTTCTAGAAAGAAAGGAAAATAAAAAATTCTGGGTAGTAACATTCCAAGAGCTTCTAGAATATATAAAGTTTGTTCTGTTTTCTTTTCTAGACAAGTCCATTTTTAAATTTTCACATGAGTAACATAACACTGTACATTAGCTGAAAATAAAAAGAGATTAAGGGCTAAATGGAACATGGAACAGATATTTGAAAAAAAATATTTAAAACCTTAAAAAATTGATGGTGTCCTCAAGTGCCTGAAAATCTATTTGACAGTAAAGATCTTGTAGAGGCATGGAAAATGTATAGAAACAATATTTAAAAAAATATTTTTTAGGGGAGGAGCAGAGTGAGAGAGAGAGAATCTTAAGCAGGCTCCATGCCCAGCACAGAGTCCAATGCAGGGCTCGATCTCACAATCCTGAGATCGTGACCTGAGCCAAAATCAAGAGTTGGATGCTTAACTGACTGAGCCACCCAAGTGCCCCTAGAAATGATATTTTTTTAAAAAATATTTAATTTATTTATTTTAGAGAGAGAGAGCAGGAGAGGGAGAGAGAATCTGATGCAGACTCTGCACTGAGCACATAGCCCGACATGGGGCTTCATCCCACGACTGTGAGATCATGACCTGAGTCGATACCAAGAGTTGGATGCTCAACCAACTGAGCCACTAGGTGCCCCTAGAAACAATATTTTTTTTTTAAGGATTTTTTTTTTTTTATTTACTTATTTGACAGAGAGATAGAAGCACTAGTAGGCAGAGAGGCAGGCAGAGGGAGAAGCAGGCTCCCCGCTGAGCAGGGAGCCCGATGCGGGACTCGATCCCAGGACCCTGGGATCATGACCTGAGCCAAAGGCAGACGCTCAACTGACTGAGCCACCCAGGTGCCCCCTTAGAAACAATATTTTTAAAAAGGAAATAGATATGTTACTTTGAAGGCTATATAAAAACTACAGGAACTCATGACCAACTACCTGAATAGGTCAGAGGGCTGGGGTAGTGCTAAAGGGTGATATCTTGTTTACTTTTCTGTCAACCAGCTTTAATCAGGGAAAATAACAGGGGTAGGGAGCCCATCTTTATTCTTCATATTCTAACGAAGCCTCAAGTTGTTTTGTTTTGCTGTTCTTGTTCTTGCTGTTGTGTGTCTGTGTTTATGTATATGTAGGTGTGTGTTTAGGGTGGGGTTTCTCAACAGCGGCGGTGTTGAGATTCTGGACCGGGTAATTCTTTGTTGTGTGCGGCTGTCATGGGCAATGTTGGCGGAATCCTTGGTCTCTGCCCACTAGATGGCAGCAGTCTTCCCTTCTCCCCACTGTCACGACGACTGAAAATTGCCCCCAGTTGAAAACCACTGTGTCAGAGGACCTTTTCTAAAGATTTTATTTATTTACTTATTTATTTAAAGAGCATGAGCACGGCAAGGGGCAGAGGGAGAGAGAGAATCTTCAAGCTGACTCAGTGTCAAGAGCGGAGCCTGATGCGGGGCTTGATCTCAAGACCCTGAGATGATGACCTGAGCTGAAACCAAGGGTTGGAGGCTTAACCAACTGAGCCTCTGGGGCACCCCTCAGAGGATCTTTTCTAAACACCAGTTTATTCTTGGGTTTTCCTGTTAAAATTATCCATAAAAGCAACTTTGCTGTGTGCCTAGTGTATACATTTGTTCCAATTCAGCTGGCATTTACTGGCTATGTACCATGAGCTGGACGCTATGCCAGGATCAAATATAATATTCACATCTATGCATTTTTATTCTTTGAAACACTAACCCAATCATTTCCAGAGACAGCAAGGAGGATTGGCTTTGTACTTTTAGAGGAATGCCTAGTTTTAGTTCCTAAACTACTTGCTGTTCCAGTTTTCCCGGTTAAATTTAGAGAGTAACAAAAGCCTTAAAAAAAAAAGCCTCTTTGCAGCTTGGTGTGTTATGTATTTAAGGAAAACCGAGTATATAGCAATACTGTGTTCAGTTTGTGCTTTAACTCATTTGGGAAAGCTTATGATGCAGTGGCTATTTCCAAACTTGGTGCCCTTCCTTAGAGGATCCCTGGCTCTGTGTGCCTACACTGGGTCAGTGGCTCCTGGGGGCTCTAGGGGGCTCCAAAGTTATATCTCATTTTTATGCCCAGAAAAGGCATGATGAAGAGTGCAGAGAAGATTTTTCCAGGGCATTGAAGGTTTTCTCTTGCCCAGTATTTGAGGAAAAAAAGCAGTGCAAGGGAGGGGGAGATGCTGCTGTGGGAATTTATTTCACTGGCTTCTAGAACATAACTCTCAGCTATGGATATGGGGAGCAATGACTTCAGGCAAGTTCAGCCAGATACTGTGCTAAAGTGCTTTTTATATGTTATCTCATTTAATCCTTACATCGACTCTAAGAGAAGGTCTTTTTTTTTTTTAAACTAATCTCCATGCAGGGCTTGAACTTGATTGAGAGTCAGATGCTCAACTGACTGAGCTACTCAGGCATGCCTAAGTTTAGGTCTTATTATTATTATCATCCCCATTTTACAGATGAGAAGACAGGCAGAGGAAGGTTAAGTGGCTGACTTCAGGATCCCACCACAGGTCTGTGTGACTGCAGATCTCATGCTTTTAACCCATTGTACTTACTACCAGACTAGATGTCCTCCTCTTTTATGTTCTCCCATGGCATCCCTTACTTTGGTAGCATGCGTTGCTCTTGGTGTAATTCATTCAGTGCCTGTCTTCCTCACTAGACTGCATATTCTATGAAATCTTAACCTATTCTTATTCCATGACACATGGCTTAGCACATGAGAGGCACTAAATAGGTATGTGTTGAGTGAAAGTAAATCTATTAATTAAATTATGGCAAGATCTCTTTCTAAGAGTTCTAGCTGACTAACAACTACTGATCTTTTATTGTCATTGGTGAGTTGGGGTGGTGGGGTGTGCAAAGTGAGTACGAGCTTTGAGTTCTATGATGGAGCTAGAGAGACCAGGCACCCATAAGAATCATCAGGAACCACTGAAGACGGCCTGCAATTTGAGTGCTGCGTTGTATGGACATAACTTCAAAATAGGAAATCCAAGTGCTTCAGAAGGAATTTTCCATTTCTTCCTGGACGATTTAGATCTTTCCATATCCAAGTGCTTTTCCTTTGCTGGGATCTATTTATAGCAGAGGGATAAATGAACAAGGACTGATAGCAGCATGGGCATGTTTAGGCTGTCATATTTCCAAGCTGCCACAAGATGGGAGTATTTTAAAACTTTGCTCTGATTTTCTGATCATTAATGTTTGTGGGCCATATGGTGATGAAACCTGTGTCCCGATGCAGCACACTGGAACTCAGAGAAAAACAAACATGGCTCTGTCTGCTGTCGGAAATTTGACTCATGAGATTGCCAAAGGGAAATGGATATTAAAGCAAGAGAATTCACAGTTGTTGGTGTGTAACTGTTATATGCTGCATTTGAAAATAAACAACTTTAGTGTAAAATGAAAAAAATGACTGAAACAAAAATTTAGTTTTTTGCCCGAATGCAGTCTCTTTTGTTTCTCAAGCTCCCAAAGTTGAAGCAACTTTAGTCTTCTAATGATTCACCATTATCTTGGCCTTTGGTTCCAGTGTAGAAATTCGGCTGCCTGCGATGCATATTGAGGACGGCTACTATCAAACTTTCTACAGCGTCTCTGGTCCCTCAGGCAAATAGCAAGTGCGTTTTAAGTGTCCTGGGACAGAGATTAGTTATAGAAATTCAAATTGCAATTGGTACAATACACCGAGGTAGAGAGGATGGAAGAGCCGATGGCCGGTGAAATGTGTGTTCTAGCCGATGTGCAAAAAAGCCCAGTTGCAAAGAAATCCATTAACAATGGATGGTGAACTTGGCTACAATGGGGGATGCTTTAATGCTTTTTGAGACTCTTGTCCTAAAGGTGTAGGGAAGCAATAGACAAGACAAGGAAGGACGAGGTAAGGGAGTTTGGCCAGAGCAGAGGAAGGACTAGCAAGCACTGCAGGTTCCTGCAGCCATGGCGGCAAATCCAGAGAGACCAACACAGACTTTTATTTATCACCCCTTCAATCACCACCGAGGCCCGTGATGGCACACTCTGCAGGAGGGACTTAATTGGCTCCCAGCTTCTCTCAGGTGTTGTATGCCCAGGCACGTGGGCCAGTTTCCACACAGAACATTCAGTGAGCCGAGAGAAGTGCTTCTTAACATTGTTGCCCTGTTGGCTGGGATGCCCAGCAGATCCCAGCCCCTCTGCTCAGGGGGGATGACTCACTCCCGGGCCCACAGGTGGGACAGATGTGCATGCCACTTCATTCCTACCATCCTGGTTCTCCGTACCTCAGCTCACAGAATCCTAGCGTGTCGAAGATCTAACAGAAGGAGAACAGAAGCGAGGTCAAGTGACTTGCCCAAGAAGCAACCTCAACACAAAGCTCTCTGCCCACATTTTCCTGTCCAACTCGGCCAAATATGCTCTTTTTCTAAATCCACCTCACAGTTTCATCTTTAAAGTCCTAGAGTATTTACTGTCAAATCTATGTGTCTCAATTACATACTCTCTGGTGTTGCTTATGGGTACTTTCGGATTTCCTGCAAGATGCTAAGCCCCTTGAACACAGGGTCGTATCGTAACCACCAGGGCTTCTAAACTTTTAATGTGCACATGGATCAGCTAGAAATCTAGTAAAAAAAAGGAAATTCTAAATCAGAAGGTCTGGGGTGGGGCCTGAGACCCTGCATTTCTAAGGTGTTCCCTCCGTAGTGGTGTACTCCCCAGCACAGCACTTGGTAGCCGACTGCTGCTTTCCTTTAGAAACGCTGCAGGAATCCGTCTTACCTGATGGACATTGGTTTTCCTGTCTGCGGTGTGCTAAAGGGGTAATAAGAGTTTGTCTTTGTTATGGGGAGGCAGAGTGGTGTGGCTGCTTAAAGCAGGGGTTTTGAGCCACTCGAAATAAAAGCTAACATTTACCAAGTACTTGCTTTGTGTTAGGCACTGTGATGAGCACTTTATATGCATTATTGGATTTAATCTTTTTGAAAGAAAAATGCTAAGTAGAACACAAAACCATTGTGTTATGTTTCGGCTTTCAGACAATAAATATCAATTGCTTAAGTCACTTCTCTCTCTCTAGGACTCCACAACATCTATAGATTTTGAAGACAGTGCCCTTTTAAGAAAAGCTTAGTAAGTCCGCTAGGATTTTTATATGAGCTGGTAGTTTAAAAGTCATGACTGATTTGTCACAATAACCAGCGTTTTGTGCCTTATATGAGTATGTGGAAAGTGTTTCAAAAGAATTTGAATCAACTGAAAGATAATGGGTGTTTAACTTGCATAAGTCAGTTAAGTGAATTATGAATTTATTAGTATAAAGTCATAAATCTTATTTCTGGGTTTCGGGGGCTCAAGAATAGTAAATTTGGCCAAAGCAAAAATGCATTTGTCTTGAGACTTCTTTAGAATTCAAAATATAACTAGCGAGTATTTGTTGATTAAAAATTTGATTTTCATTCTCTGAAGGAAAACTCATATTTCTGACCCATTTTTTCCCCTTGAGTTAAGAGGAACGTGTGTGCATGCATATATATATATTTGTGTGTCTCCACAGGAACTCTTTCACCTAAGTACTATTGTCCTCATTTTAAAGGTGTGGAAACTGGAGCTCCATGAGATTAAATGACTTGCCCACTCTTGCACTGCTACTAGGACCTGACCCAGGATACAAATTCACATTATTTTCTTAACCATTTATTTTGAGAAATTAGGAACTACAGAAAAATTTCGAGAATGGTACAATGAACATCCTATACCTTTCCTCTAGATTCACTGGTTGTTACCATTTACAAAGCCCACATTCTTAACCACTCTACCATTTATTTGGCATATTGTGACCTTAGGATATTACACAACCTCTCTGTGATTGATTTCTTTATATGCAAGTGGATAAAAATATCTATATTGAGAGTTTTAAAGATGAAGATGAAGTGGGGTGCCTGGCTGGCTCAGTCGGTAGATCATGTTACTCTAGATCTCAAGGTAGTGAGTTCAAGCCCCATGTTGGGCATAGAGCTTACACATACAAAACAAGTAAAAATGAAGATGTAGTGAATAATGTATTCTCCCAGCAAATGTTTATTGAGCTCCTACCATTCTGGGATGAATACAAGGTGTAAGTCAGAAAAAAGCAAGATCGTACATTGTATGCCCTCATAAACTCAGATGTTGGGGGACAGACAGTGAAGGGACACAGTGGGTAAATTCAGGTGGTCTAAGCACTGGGAGGAGACAAAGCCTTTAGACAGAGCAGTCTGGAAGGCTTCCTGGAGGAGGTGACCTCTAGCCTGAGGCTTGACTCATAAAAGGGAGTGAACCATATATAGAAGGGAGCAGAATGGGCCAGCCTACCTAGAGTGGATGCTGAAGATCTTTCTATTCCACAAAAAAGGGAGATTGTGGAGTTTCCCTTTGTGGAGATTGTTTAGAAGAGACATATGCTCTCAGGTAGACTAGGTAATAATCTGATAAAAGATAGGGCTGGCCGGTAGGTTTTTCAGAGTCTGTTCTAGCTTTGTGCATCTACAGCTCTTCATGAAGAGCTAGGAGCATAGATTTCTGAGAAACAATCTTTGTAAAAGTGTCTTGACTTCCTTGTCAATTATTTCCTTTGAGGAGTGTAACTTTTAATATTAATAAGCTGTGTTATTAACTAATGGCAGTTGCTGTCCAAGGAAGTCTGATTTGTGTTTCTGGAGTCTCAGTGAACTTTTGTTTCTAATTTAGAAATTGGATGAAGACATGCATCAAAAAATTGCAAGAGAAATGAACCTCTCTGAAACTGCTTTTATCCGAAAACTGCACCCCACTGACAAGTTTACACAAAGTAAATATGCTTTTTTTTTTTTTTAAGCCATTCTTGGACGGTACCAGAAACTAATTTTCCAGTGGGGGAATGATATTTCAGAGATTTGCATGCGGACAGGAGAGAAGGTGGGGGAGATTCTGATTTGGTTTTCAGTTTGTCTGGGGAGAGCAGGTGTTGGGTAATTTGAATGTTTCAGCTTCAGATCTGGCACCGGGGAGCCCTAGGATGCTGGCCTAGACTTCACTCCTCCTTCACAATGCATTTCAGCTATTAATCATGCTAGGGAAATATTGAGAAAAGAATAAGAAAATGAAAAGTTTGTGACCCACTTGTATGGGAATGATCTCGTCTCTCTTCGGCTTTTCCTCCTCTGAAGGTTCCTGCTTTGGATTAAGGTGGTTTACGCCAGCGAGTGAGGTTCCCCTCTGCGGCCACGCTACCCTGGCTTCCGCGGCTGTGCTGTTTGACAAAATAAGTAATGTGATTTTCTTTTATGAACCTGTCACTGAGCAAATAGCAAGTATTTTTTAAAATTCTCACTCTTTGTGATGAATCAAAGTCCCTGCTATCAAGACTTTACAGAGTCTATTCATGTCATTCATGACGCTGAAACAAATACAGCCCCCTGAAACTTTGGCCTTTCTGATTATGTGCCAGGCCTGTTGGAAAGCTCTGGTCGTTGCTCCCTAGAATGCCATTTTATTCTGAACAGGAGCTCTCTGGTCTCTGACCAACACAGGAGGGGAGCTTGCAAGACACAATAGGCATCTCACATGATGTGGTATCGGGGAACCATGTCACATTTTGCTCCAAATATGTCCTCACCCACACTGAGATTCATTTCACAAGAGCTCTGCTGCTTCTTTTTTTTTTTTTTAAAGTAAACTCTACGCTCAACATGGGGCTTGAACTCACGACCCCAGGATCAAGAGTCACATGCTCTATGGACTAAGCCAGCTAAATGCCCCTCACAAGAGCTTCTTTACTTTGAAGTTTAAAGATTCATGGGCCACGGCTATATACATTTCCCTTGTGAAGAGAGGATGCTTCACCTCAGTTCTACCAGTTTTCATCGTCGCTACATTTAGTATAATAAAGATTAGGGCTCTGTGGCAATGAGGCAGCGGAGAGATGCCTAGAAATGCCCTAAAAGTGGAGATGGAAGCAGCCATGAATAGGTGTAGACAACAAACAGAAAGGTAAGCAAGGAAATACACAGGATGATACGACAGAGTATGAGAGTGGAAGTGGGGAGAGCGGCATCGGAAAAGGAGGTTCTCTGGGGGGTTACTTCGATGGGGAGGGTCCGGGGAGGTGTTACAGGGCAAGTTCCCCTGGGAAGCACATTGCATGCTGGGAGAATTGTGGGCAGTATTCTTGGAGTCAATATTGGCCGGGAGTAAAGAGAGCAGAATAGAACAGAGGGACACATTGAACTGCAAAGTGGTGGCAACAAAGAAAGGCGTAGGCCAAAACCACAGGGAGATCTGAAACTGCAACAATCCTTCAAGTAGTATAGTTCCAAATAGAAACAAAGGTGCAGGCCTTTATACCCTCCACTGATCAGCCTCCAATGCCCAGAAAACCAGCCTGACTTTGGATAGAGTAGCTCTACTCACCCAAGGGCGATTCGCAGAGCGGGACTCAGCTGAGAGCAGTCAGTCACCAACACCCCTGGCAGCTGGGGCAGGGCCTTCAGGCTGTGCCTGAGAGCAGGTGCCTCCTTAAATGCATGCCTCTGTATTTCCTTGTCTCGCTAGTCCTGGCCCTCAGAGGGGAAGGTTGAGATGCTGGACTGCAGCATCCACTAGAGAAGGGGACCTTCAGGCTGAAGAATATCAAGCCATGTGTGCAAAGAATTCGAGTGGGAGGAGTATTTGGGCAGAGGCCGCAGCAAATGCAAAGCTCCTGAGGAGTAGTCTGTGTATCTGGAGTGGCTGGAGTTTCCAGGGGCTGGGGCGGGGGTGACCGGCAGGAGATAACATTGCGGTCCCTCTATAATGTAATCCATGATATGTCTTAACAAGATAATTTCGGTTTCTGTGGATAGGGGACAAGAATGAGGGCAGGCAAATACCCTGAAATATTGCTTAGGAACTCAGTCTTGAAAAAAGATTTTACTGAAGTTGGATTGAGCGCCTTTTGAAAACCCCACACTGGGGGCGCCTGGGTGGCTCAGTTGGTTAAGCGACTGCCTTCGGCTCAGGTCATGATCCTGGAGTCCCGGATCGAGTCCCACATCGGGCTCCCTGCTCAGGAGGGAGTCTGCTTCTCCCTCTGACCCTCTTCCCTCTTGTGCTCTCTATCTCTCATTCTTTCTCTCTCAAATAAATAAATAAAATCTTTAAAAAAAAAAAAAGAAAACCCCACATTGTTTGGTGTGCAGCAGAGATTTGGAATCTCTGGACTCGATGCGGGGCTCGATCCCAGGATCCTGGGATCATGACCTGAGCCGAAGGCAGTCGCTTAACCGACTGAGCCACCCAGGCGCCCCTGTAGGTGGATATTTAAAATCTGCATTAGAAAACACTATTTCATCCCTATGAGGTAGGTTTAATTATTACCCCATTTTACTGATGAGGAAATTGAGACTTAAGGAGGTTAAATAATTTGCTGAAAGGCACAGTTAGTCAGCATAAAGGAGCTGGCCTTTGAAGACTTGCAGTATGATGTTAAGTCCAACCAGTTATGTTCTTGGTTCTCAAGTGAGAAGCTGGTGGGGGCTATCTCTACTCTGGACCCCAGTCACCCAAACCTGAACCCCTCCTTTCAGGAAAAGGTACACTGCCAGGGAATCTAAGACAATGCAGTAGTGATCAAAACAGATGTGTGAATATATAACAAAGTTTATTTTCCTATTTCTTGATTTCCTTTCAAAGAGTTTTCTGATTGACAAAGTAAGACTTTTTTTTTTTTTTTTTGCCAGAAAATGTGAACAGCACTCTAACCTTTGTCACTCTGAGCGGGGAACTGAAGGCCAGAAGAGCAGAGGACGGTATTATCCTGGATCTACCTCTTTATCCTGCCTACCCCCAGGTCAGCTCTTTCTAACTATTGCCATGAACCGTATTAACTGACAGCTTGCATGCCTTACTGTGGTCTTGTCTTTTTCCCCATCTAGGACTTCCATGAAGTGGAGGACTTGATAAAGGTTGGTGAAAAGAATTAAACCTAAGCTCGTGTGATTTGGTCATTTGTTGTTTGAACAGAAAGGTTCAGTACCATTTGGGGCACCTGGGTGGCTCAGTCAGTTAAGCGTCTGCCTTTGGCTCAGGTCACGATCCCAAGGTCCTGGATCAAGCCTGGGTTGGGCTCCCTGCTCAGCGGGGAGTCTGCTTCTCCCTCTCCCTATGCCCCTCCCCCTGCTTGTGCTTTCTTTCTTGCTTGCTCTCTTTCTCTCAAGTAAATAAATAAAATCTTAAAAAAAAAAAAGATTCATGTCACCTGGGTGGCTCAGTCAGTTAAGCGTCTGCCTTCAGCTCAGATCGTGATCCTGAGGTCCTGGGATTGAGCCCCGCATCTCTCTCTGCCTCTTTCTCTCTGTCTTTATGAATAAATAAATAAAATCTTAAAAAAAAAAAGGATTCAGTACCATACGACCCCCAAAGATAGGCCTTCTATCAGTATAAGCGTTCCAGCCTAAGCTCGGATGAAAAGTGCATGGTGCATTTGAGGTGTGAATTTTAATGTTGAATCTATTTGGTGAGAAGCTTGAGCAGTTGTCCCTGGCTCTTCATTGCCAGATTAGCCTCCTTGAAGGAAGGGGGAAGAGAGACTGCTGTGTGGTGGGCCGAGCGTGAAAGCAATTGAAAGTGTTGGGCAGGGCGGCCCGGATTTCTGTGGTGGAAAATGAGGCTGAGGTGAGGGGCTGTGCTTTGATGGAGGAGGACAGGAAAGCTCTGGCAACTTGCTAGAGAAGGCGAGATTCATAGCCTGGCTTCTTCAAGAGGTCTAGGAAGGGGTGGGCCTTCATAAGAATAACAATGATCATGCTAATGAACATTTTTGAGAGTTGCCCCTGGGCAGTACCAGGTGCTAAGCTTTTCACATGCATTATCTCACTTAATACTGTCACTGGGTGAGGTAGGCACTACAATCGTCCTATGGGCATTCCAGGGGGCCCCCCCCAGCAGCCCTGCATGACCCGGTTCTTAGTCTGTAGAGAAGGAAGGGCCCCATCAGGATCAGGGCAAGGGCTGCAGTGAGAAAACCAATTCTCACTAAATGGCCTATCCTGGGTACCACTGGGGTGTTTCTCAGTGAATATTCAACTACAGCATTTATAATCTCTTTAGTGTCTTGCATTATCTATGTTTTTCAAAGAGTAGAAGCAAGCATTACAGATTCTGATTTTACACTCAGCCCCACCTATGGCTTGGGTTTTGGAAGACAAGCCAACATTCATAAATGAACTGCTTTAAGCAAGTTGACAAGAAAATGGACAATAATCACAGCACAGACCTTGTTCATGGTAGAAAGAACTTAACGCAGTGTCTCTAAGCTTCAGGGTCAGCGTTTGTAAAGTGGGGATGATAAAGGTTTATGTATCCTGAGTATTGTTGTTTTGTGTTTCTAGAAACTGGTCATAAGATTCTCAGCTGAGAATTAGACTTTCAAATTGACATCAGAATTCATGCAGAGGAGGGCTGAATGACCCCTCGGAGAAGCTGAAAGGCCTGAGAACAGATGGGCTCTGGCTGCAAAGTTTCCATTTCCAGAGGGAGGGACATTGTTCAGCTGTGGTCGCCGGGGCAGACAGCCGAGGCACCACTCAAAGCGGAGGGAGTCTTGGCTTTGGGACTGGAAGCATCTCAGTCCCTAAAGAAGATTAGAGAACCTGAAGCAACCTAATGATAGCCAGACAACTACCATGTAATTCTCATCTGCTCTGCCTACAGCCAGTGCGGGTGCCAAAGGGTGACTTGGAGGGGCTTCCCCCACTCATCATCCCCCTCAGCACTCCAAGTCAACAAGCAAACAGACAAACAAGTTCTAGGATATGAGCAAGATTACGTGCAGTCTCAGGCAAAGGGTGAATCCAGGTCTCTTTAGAAAATATTGCTATGTTACTGATCTGCAACATACAATCGAAGTGAAAACAGTGCTTGCCACGTAAAGCAGCATTAAGATGTGTTCTAGTCCCCAGTTCCATTCAAACTGCTGGCCCTGAGTCCTTGCCATGTAGAATCTTCTAGTTACTGCTGCTTCGACTCCACATATATTATTTCATTTAATTCCCAACAACAATGTTAAGAGGTGGGCCTGAGGCCCCCATTTCTACAGACAGTAGACAGCAGTGATTCAGAGCTTTGACTCCAGGGCCCCTCAGACCTGGGTCAAGGGGTGTGTGTGTGTGTGTGTGTGTGTGTGTGTGTGTGTGTGTCTGTCCCTGGGCCTAAGTCTTCCTCCTTATTTGTGAGGAAAATGCCCATTTGAAGGACATAGTAATACTTGTGAACAATGCCTGTCTTCGGCTCTTAGAGGGTGAGCTCAACCCCCTTAAAGGTCTCTGGTCTCCAGAAAACTGGCCTTCCTTGGGCAACACCTTGAGTCCTGAAACTGAGCTAAAACTCTTGGGATTGGGGACATTGGGTATGCCTGGCACACAGGAGATGCTCATGAGAGGCTGTTCCCCAACTAGAAGATCAATGATTTGACCCAGGGCGCACTTCTGAGGAGTTTTTGGTCTGTCTCCACAGACTGCCATAGGTGATACCCTAGTCCAAGACATCCGCTATTCTCCAGGTACCCGAAAACTCCTTGTCCGGCTCAGTGATACTTACAAGAGGTAAACAAGATTTTTGGCTTCGGCAGCATTTTGAGGGGGGGGCTGAGAACCCAGATTTATAGCCCTGGCTTTGTCTGGCCATGCTTAGGTCCAGTCAAACCATGATTTATGCAGTCAGAGGGTTTTGTTCCCAGGGAGGAAGATAGTCTACTTGCTCTCTCCTCCCCTCCTGCTGAGCGGTATGGGCAAAAGCTGCACCCTTGCTTGCTTTACGGAGTCTGTGTAGTGGTCTGTGAGCTGGGTTTGTTCTAATCCATCCCATTCATGAACCAGGTCATTCCTGGAGAACCTGAAGGTGAACACACAGGATCTGCCGCAAGTGGAAAACACAGGGAAGGTGAAAGGACTCATTCTCACCCTTAAAGGAGAGCCTGGAGGGCAGACCCAAGCGTTTGATTTTTACTCCAGATATTTTGCACCGTGGGTTGGTTTGGCTGAAGACCCTGTAACAGGTACTTTTTGACTTGGGTCCTGGGGAGGGTTCAACAGTGGAGGAAAGTAACAAATAGCTCTTTAAGTGCCCTTCACAGGACCTTCCAGGTTGTTTCGGTTTTTATTTTTTATTTTATTTTTTAATTTTTTTAAAAGATTTTATTTATTTATTTGAGAGAGAGAGAATGAGAGATAGAGAGCACGAGAGGGAAGAGGGTCAGAGGGAGAA